AGTAATTGGAGATTGTAATTGCAGCTCTGGGACAGTAATTGGAGATTGTAATTGCGGCTCTGGGGCAAGATCTGGAGATCGCCAGCATGGCTCTGGGATGGTAACTGGAGTATGCCAGTGTATCCTTTGGGCAGGATCTGGTGAGTGCCAGTGTGGCTCATGGATAGGATCTGGTGTATGCCAGTGTGGCTCAGGGATAGGATCTGGTGTATGCCAGTGTGGCTCAGGGCTAGGATCTGGTGTGTGCCAGTGTGGCTCAGTGGCAGTAACTGGAGTGTGCCAGTGTGGCTCAGGGGCAGGATATTCAGAGTGGCAGGACAGCTTTGGGGCAGGATCTGGAGTGCAGCAGAACAGTTTCCTGGCAGGATATGGAGAACAGCGACATGGGTTCACAGGGGCAGGATATTCAGAGCGGCAGCACCGATTTTGGGCAGGATTTGGAGGGTGACAGCAAAGCTTTGGAACAGGATCTGGAGTGTGGCAGGACAGCTTTGGACCAGAATGGGGAGAGTGACAACACGTTTTTTGGGTAGAATTTGGAGTGTGGAAACACAGTTTGGGAGCAGGATCTGGGGTGTGGAAACAGGGTTTAGGAGCAGGATATGGAGTGTGGAAGCAAGTTGTGGGAGCAGGATCTGAACAATGGAAACACGGTTTGGAAGCAGACTCTGGAGTATGGAAGTATGGTCTGGGAGCAGGATCTGGACTGTGAAAACAGGGTTTGGAAGCAGGATGGGGAGTGTGGAAGCACGTTGTGGGAGCAGGATGTGGACAATGGAAACAAGGTTTGGAAGCAGGATCTGGAGTATGGAAGCATGGTTTGGGAGCATGATGTGGACTGTGAAAACAGGGTTTGGAAGCAGGATGGGGAGTGTGGAAGCACGTTGTGGGAGCAGGAACTGGACTGTGGAAACACGGTTTGGAAGCAGGATCTGGAGTATGGAAGCATGGTTTGGGAGCAGAATCTGGGGCGTGGGAACACGGTTTGGAAGCAGGATCTGGACCTTGGAAGCACGTTGTGGGAGCAGGATCTGGGGCGTCTGAACTCGGTGTGGGAGCAGGATCTTGAAGTAAGTAGCACAGTTGCACGCTGGAATCTGGAAGGAAACAACATAACTGCGTGGCAGAATCTGGGAATATGTAGCACAGTCGCACAGTCGGATCCGGAGGGAAAGAACTTGGCTCTGGGGAACGCCTTAGTCGACTGCAGGGCTTTTTCAGCGGCGTTTTCTTTCTTCTTTTCGATCTCCTTTTGTCGGTTTTCTTGAAGGGCACGCTGGTGGGTGGCTGGGAACGGTCGCACGGAATCTCCCCGGTGGGTTCCGCGGCGACTTTCCGCTTCTTGGCCTGGACAGAGGACGCTAAGGCACAAAGTTCCGAGGCAGACGGGGTCTCTGCCGGAGGTTTCCAGCTTCTCTTTCGTCTCGGGGGGGTTGGTTTCATGGAACATCTCGCCGGCTCCGAGTTGGAGGTGACGCTGGTGCAATACACGAGGGGGTTGAGCGCTGCCAACGGGTCACCGACCTGGAACATCAACCCGGCGTCCCTCTCCACATTCTCCGCTGAGGATTTCCGAGAGTCCCTCTTCGCATCGCAGGCCCTCGCTCGCACGTTTACTCTGATCTGGCTTTTGGCAGCGGTGGGTCTGGAGATGTTCTGGAACTTGCTGGCGACGCCTTCGGGCGTGCCGAAAGTCGGAGGGAGCGGCGGAACAAGCCGGGAGCTGGGTCTTTTGCGAGTGGTTTTAGCGGCGGCGAATCCAGTTTGACACACGGGCGTGGTGACCACGTAGCCGGCTCTTTCCGCGTTGGCTTTGGGAGTCCTCTTGCGTTTCCTGGAGGTGGGTTTCTCGGATGTCTGCGGAACGCAGAGAGCCCCCGTGGCGGATTTCGAGGCCGTAACTTTAGACCGACTGCACATTCCGTTAGCAGCGCAGCCCTGAGCCGCCGGGCAAACTTGCTGCACGTTAGCTTGCAGAGAGGAGCAAACACTGGCGTGCAGGAGGTTCCAGCGGCTTTTGCCTGTGCCTTTACGTTTCTTGGAGGAATTGAGCGACTCCATTTGAGACGATGATGCGTGCTGGGGGAGCGGCTGAGCGTTGAGACAATAAGTGACAGATCTCCGGGCAAGTGCAGGATCTGTGGGACAGTAGGAAAGAGCTGGGATTTCCGTGGGTCTGATGTACGATTTCCAGTCACGCTAACTATCTGTGCAAGGGTTAAGTCACACGGGTTTTATAGGAGGCGTTACAAGGTTCGTTTCTGTCACACTTTGACGATCGGAAACGCTGACCACCATCGTAGCTTCTGCGCTCCTTGTTGAACTGAATCCGATGTGTAATCGATTACTCTATCATCTTCGACTCTTGCCCCATCGTATCCAAAGGCACGTCCTGCTCTGTTGACTTCCACTTTCTCCTAGAAACCAAGAAAATGAAGGAGGAAAACAAAAACGAGGAAAGTCACCACCACTTCACGTATCCTTTTGGTCTTCTTTGAAATGTAAGTTTCAGTGTTGACACTAATGTCAACGTCCGACCGGGGAGAGGGGTGAAATAGAAGCTATGGGTGGGTTACAGTACTGAAAAATCACATCATATTAGGGTTTCACAAATTTCTCAAAACTGCATCACGTTAAACCAGTATATTTGTTGCGTCATAAATCGGTTAGCGTGAGATCACACGCCTGTTGTAAAACACAGATGAAAGGGATTGTAAATAATTCAGGTATTTTAGCTTCAACAATTGAATTTACAATTCAAAAATTTAAAGGCTATATGTAGACAGTAGTGTTAGATCTTAAGTGTCAACAAATTTTTAGCCTCTCAGACTTCCAGTAATTTATTTGCTTGCACTTTCTAGATTTACTACTTTCAGTGAAAAAGTGGAGATTGTATTCAGTATTTCTGTAGTTTAATTATTGAATGAATATTAAGTGACTATAGACATTATTCAAGTGGTAAATTGCCTAAGTAATGTTTTTGTTCTCCAAAAGTATTTTTTAATCATGTAATGGAAGTATTAAACAATTAATTTCTTTCTCTTTGTAAATCTAAAAATCTCCTCTCCAGAATGGTCCCTTCCCCACCCCTTCTATTTAGTTCAAAGCCCTCTCTACAGTTATTCGTACAGTTATTTCCAGAACATTTGTACCAGCACAGTTCAAGTGAATGGTTTCTGACTGGAACAGCTTCCTTCTACCCCAGTATTGGTGCCAGCACCCCATAAAATTGAAACCCATTTATCCCAAACCAATCTCTGAACTATCCATTTAACTCCTCAACTTTATTTACCTTTTGCCAGTTTGCCCATGCCTGAGTTAGAATTTAGAATTAGAATGAGGTTTTATTGTCACATGTACTTGAGTACGGAGATACAGGATTACAGTGAAAGTTTACAATGTTGCCATTCCAGGCACCATTTTATGTACAAAGCTACCTAGGTACAATGTAGAAAAGTAACGAAATATAGGTAAAAATTCAATGTTAAAGTCGTTTTTAGTACAAAGTAGAAAAAGAAGGAAATAAAGTTAAAAGTTTATCATTGCAATCCTTTTTAAGTACTTATCCATGCTGGGCTTACACTCTCCACAAAGGTTCAATGTCATCTGTGTTGGGCTGAAACTCCCTACGTTTGATGTCACCATAGATGACAAGAGACCTTGGGCTGCCTGCTCTCGCCACTGCCACAGATGTCTGGGGGACCTTTAGCACACTCCGCTGGGATCAATCCCTACCTTGCCTCCCATGCTGGGCTCAATCTCCTCCACGTTAGACTCACTCTTGCATTCTCTCCCACGTTGACTCACTCTCTCCTGCATTAAGCTCACTATCTTGTGCACTTTCTCACTGTCCCACACATTAGCTCGATCTGTCCACAAAAGTTTAAGTAGATTAAAGTAATCCCAAGACAAATACCTTGGAGTTTCTGCTTTCTGATTTAGCTGCTAACTGGCCAATATCTGTCAGGAGAGCTTCCTTTCTAGTCCGGTCAACGACATTGGTTCTAATTGAACTGGATTCCTTTCCTCCCATTGCAAGTTCCCCTCTGGCTCTGATTGGGTGTCCTTAACCCTAGCACTGGGCAGTCACACAGCCTTTGAGACTGACTCATGGCTGATTCATGGCTCACTCCCCGTAATGGTACTGTCCCCTACCACTACTACATCCCTACTTCCTTGACCTACTCAAATAGCTCCCAGTACTTGGTGCTGTGATCAGTGCACTCATTCTCCATGCAGTCCCCACCTTTGTCTATACAGGTTGCATAACTCTCGTAAGTGTTGGAGGAGTGCAGGGGTTGAGGCTTCACAAAAGCCACCACTTGTGTTTCAGTAGACAACAAGGTGCAGGGCTGGATGAACACAGCAGGCCAAGCAGCATCATAGGAGCAGAGAGGCTGACGTTTCGGGCCTAGACCCTTCATCAGAAAAGGGGGAGGGGAAGGGGGTTTTGAAATAAATAGGGAGAGAGTGGGAGGCGGATAGAAGAGGGATAGAGGAGAGGATAGGTGGAGAGGAAACAAACAGGTCGAAGAGGCGGGGATGGAGCCAGTAAAGGTGAGTGTAGGTAGGGAGTTAGGAAGGGGATAGGTCAGTCCAGGGAGGACGGACAGGTCAAGGGGGCGGGATGAGGTTGGTCGGTAGGAGATGGAGGTGCGGCTTGGGGTGGGAGGAGGGGATAGGTGGGAGGAAGAACAGGTTAGGGAGGCAGGGACGAGCTGGACTGGTTTTGGGATGTGGTGGGGGGAGGGGAGATTTTGAAACTTGTGTTTCAGTATCTGCCTTACATGCAGTCACATTCTCCTATCCCTGTCTATGGACCAAGTTTGAATTAACTGACCTGAGGGATGCAACTGTCTCTTGGAGCAAAGTGTGCAGGTAACTGTCAGCCTCCCTAATGTGGAACAATGTCGGCATCACAGACCTGGGTTCCTCAACTCAGATCCAAAGTTCTTCAAGCTGCAAACATTTACTACCGATGTGTTCCATCTCGATGATGTAGTGTCCAGCAGCTCCCAGCAGTAACACATTACCTGTCCTTCCACCACTATGACATTTCATTTCATTTACTGATTTTACTTTTATTAATTAATTACCCTGGTATACATGCTCTTTCTAGTTCATGATTTTGATTTATTTATTTAATTTTATTAGTTTACTTTTAATTTTACATGAACTGAGCATCAGTGAGCAAATTGTTGCTAAGTAATTGTTGCTTGATAGCACTGTTGATGACACTTTCATCACTTTACTGGTGATCAAGAGTTGATCGATGAGTCCAGGCTTTATTCTGCTTTTCGTATACAGGACATACCTGGGCAATTTTCCACAATGTTGAGTAGATGCCAGTGTCATAGGTGTACTGGAAGAATTTGACTAAGGGAGTTGCAAGTTCTGGAGCACTTGTTTTCAGGAATTGTTGGAATGTTGTCAGGATCCATAGCCTTTGCTGTGTCCAGTGCCTTCAGCCATTTCTTGATATCATGTAGAATGAATCAAAATGGCAGAAGATTGGCATCTGCGATGCTGGGGATCTCTGGAGGGGGAAAGAGATGGATCATCCATTTGGCACTTCTGGCTGAAGGTTGTCAGAATGGTTTCATCTGTAACCTTTGCACTGAGGGCTCCCCTTCATTCAGGATGGGATATTTGTGCAGCCTCATTCTTCAGTGAGTTGTCTAATTGTCCCGTACCATTCACTGCTGGGTGTAGCAGGACTACAGAGCTTAGATCTGATCTGTTGAAAATAATTTAGCATCATCTCTGCTGCTTAAGCTGCTGGAGTGCAAGTAGTCAAATGAACAAATGAAAAAGTACAGCATAAGAACATACCTTCGGCCCTCCAAGCCTGTGCCGACCATCATGCCCTAATTAATCGAGAAACAAACCAGCCATTTTTCGATCCATATCCCTCTATTCCCTCCCTATTCATGTACCCATCTAGGTGCCTCTTAAATGTCTTCAATGTTACCGCTTCGATCTCTTCTTCTGGTAGTGCATTCCAGGCTGCTATCACTCTCTGCGTGAAGAACTTCCCTGGCACATTTCCCTTAAACTTTCACCCTCTGACCTTGAAACTGTGCCCCTTTGTAATTGAAACTTCAACCCTGGGAAAAAAGCCTCTGACTGTCCACTCTATCAATGCCTGTCATAATTTTGTAGACCTCTATCATGTCTCCTCTTAGCCGCCATCTTTCCAGTGAAAACAATCCTAGTCTTTTTAACAAGGTGTAGAGCTGGATGAACACAGCAGGCTGGGCAGCATCAGAGGAGCAGGAAAGCTGATGTTTTGGGTCTGGACCCTTCTTCAGAAATGGGGGAGGGGAAGGGGGCTCTGAAATGAATAGAGTGGAGAAGGCAATGAAAGAAGGTGGATAGTGGAGCAGACAGGTGGAGAGAAGACAGACAGGTCAAGGAGACGGGGATGAAGCCAGTAAAGGTGAGGTGAGTATAGGTAGGAAGAGGGGGTGGGAGTTGGTCAATGAGGTGGGAGGAGCAGATAGGTGGGAGAAATGACGGACAAGTCAAGTGGCTGGTCTTGGGATGAGGTTGGGGGTGGGGAGATTTTGAAGCTACTAAAGTCCACATTGAGACCATTGCATTGTAGGATTCCCAAGCGGAATATGAGGCGCTATTCCTCCAGTTTCCGGGTGGCATCGTTGTGACACTGGAGAAGGCCCAGGATGGACATGTCATTCCAAGGAGTGGGAGGGGGAGCTGAAGTGGTTCGCGACTGGGAGGTGTTGTCGTTTGTCGTGAATCGAGCGCAGGTGCTCCACGAAGCGGTCCTGAGCCTCAGCTTGGTCTCACCGATGTAGAGGAGGCCACATCGGAAACAGTGGATACAATAGAAGTCCGGGACACCACCCACGCCCTCCACCTCCTCCAAAACGTCCGATTCCCTGGCCCTCAACACCTCATCATCACCATGGACGTCAGTCCCTATATACTTGCATTCCCCATGCAGATGGCCTAAAAGCCCTCCGCTTCTTCCTATCCAACAGGCCCAACCCGTCCCCCTCCACCGACACCCTTATCCGCTGAACTGAACTCGTCCTCACCCTTAACAACTTCTCCTTCAACTCCTCCCACTTCCTACAGACAAAGGGGGTGGCCATGGGTACCCAAATGGGCCCAAGCTATGCCTGCCTCTTTCGCAGCTACACTGGCCCCATTGCCTACCTCTTCCTCCATTATATTGATGACTGTATTGGCGCCACCTCGTGCTCCCACGAGGAGCCCGAACAGTTCATCAACTTTACTAACACCTTCCACCCAACCTCAAGTTCACCTGGACCATCTCTGATACCTTTCTCTCCTTCCTTGACCTCTCTGTCTCCAACTCTGGTGACCACCTTGAAACTGATATCTATTTCAAGCCCACCGACTCCCACAGCTACCTAGACTACACCTCCTCTCACCCACCTTCCTGCAAAAATGCCATCCCCATTCCCAATTCCTTTGCCTCCACCGCATCTGCTCCCAAGATGAGGCATTCCAC